TCCCTCAACCCCCCTGATGGGGCCCGCCTCTTGGGTGGGACCAAGGGGGGGCTCCCCCCACCCCCTGTTCGCTTTTCCTCCGTGGTTTGGCCGGGGTAGGGAGCCCCAACCCCCTTGGGGGGCCCTGTTTTGTGGAGTGACAGGGGGGAAACGCCCCCAACCCCCCTGAATCGGCCCTGTGGGCCTGCTCTGTGAGTGACGGGCAACCGCCCCCAACCCCCCTGATTGGCCCTGCTCTGTGCGTGACAGGGGGTGGCGCCGCAACCTCCCATCGACCCTGCCTTGAGTGTGACAGGGGGCGGTGCCCCAACCCCCCAATCGGCCCTACCCTGAGTGTGACTGAGGGTGGCATTGCAACCTCCCGATCCGCCCTGCTCTGTGCATGACAGGGGGCGGCGCCCCAACTCCCCAATCTCCCTGCTCTGAGCCTGACCAGGGGCTGCACCTAGGGATTGGGCGTGCCCTCTGCCACCCGGGAGCAGGCCTAAGCCAGCAGGTCGTTATCTCCCGAGGGGTCCCAGACTTCGAGAGGGCACAGGCCAGGCTGGGGGACCTCCCCCCCCCCCCGCCCCCGAGTGCACAAATTTTTGTGGACCGGGCCTCTAGTATAAGTATAAACAGAGGTGAACATTCCAGATATCTCACTTCATGGTGAGAAGGGCAGAAAGCCAGTCACATGACTGCTGCTGCTGATAATAATTTTAAATACTACTTATAGTAGTGAGAAGCATTTCCACAGGTGGGATATGAAAGTTTCTATTAGCACCAATACCCAACATTATCTTAAAAATGCATGATGTGTTTCCTTTTCATTTGCATTGCAGGCTTTCTCCACCACCACAGTGCATGCTCTGACAGCAGTGGCTTCGTAGAAGAGCCTAATTCCCACCTCTTCTTGCAGGAGGTAGTACTGCCTCCAACCTCCAGCTCCTGCCCCCAGACCTTACAAAGTCCTGAACTCAGTGGGAGAAAGGCAGCATGGTACACAGGGAAGGAGACCAGACTGAGAGACTTGGAATCTACGTCCTGATGCTGTCATAAACTGCACGCACAGAGAAAGACCTTAGGCATGTCTTCATTCCTCTGCGTGTAGATGTCTCTACTATGTAGGTATTAGAATACATGATATGGACAGTGGTAAACGAGACAAAGACTTAATTTTTTCCCAAGTTTTGACACTGCATAGGACAGTTAGAGGATTTAAGGATGATGAAGTTTGAGAGACAACAGTTGCTACTGGGATGCTCTCAAAGGGCTCAAGCTAAGTGAGGAAGGAAAAATCCCACTTCCATGCTCAGAAACCTTGGTGCAACCCACAAGGGAAGTCCCTCTGAGCCTCTACTCATTCTTATGTGCTCTCCATTAAATTCCAGAATGTCTTCCACATCACCGGAGTCCTGTTTTTCTTCTTGAGGCCTCATCTGAGGAGATCCACCTACAGCCTCCCCCTTAAAATCAGCTTCTCCCTCTACCCCAAACTTTGTTTCGTCATAGGAAGAAACGAGTGGAATTCAGAGTCTCTCTTGTTGGCCACTGGAAAAAAACAAAAAAAATTACAGTATTTTCTGCTGGCAGAAAACAATACAAATAAAATATTTTAAAATCTTGCCATGTTTTTGGAGAACTAACAGTCATGGTTTCTGTTGGATGAAAAACGTTGACAAAACATTTTCAACAAACAGGGCTTGAGCACCTACAGTGCTCTACAGTAAGGCAGTATGTGGTGCAGACATCTTAGATACATTGCTCCCCCAAGAACATTTTAGTAGAGTGAGAGAGGTCACACACACACACACACACACACACACACACACATACATTTTCAGTCATGTATGACTTGGTTGCATAATAAGTTGCAAAACAGCAAAGAACAGAAGATAGGAATTTGAGGGAAATCATATCCATCCATGATGAGTGTTAAAGAAAAAAAATCACACTAAATACAGCGAGCTGACAGAGGTTGATTTTATTCTGATACTATTGCCAGCATAAATGAAATATGGATAACTAGCTAGGTGGAAACAACAGGCTGTGCATTTTGAAGAGCTCGGATGGGGGAAGCTTAGCCATCTGTGTTTGGTGATCGGCCTAACCCAAAGGAAAGGTAAACTTAGGGTATCTTCATGACAGGAGGTAGTTTTACAACTTGGAGCCAGGGCCTCCCCGCCCCCATCACTGAAGCTAGGCTCCTACCCTTCCACAGAAACTGAGACATAGGACACTATCTTCCTGATGTTTACATCGTAGAGACTGGATTCTCAGGTCCTTTCCTGGGTTGTTAAACCTGAATGAGGCAGGGAGAGATTTACATCTCAAAGGGACAGAGAAAGAATTGACAGTAAAATTCTCTAAAGCCAGGGACTAGCGTCAGGAAAAGCCTGTCCACGCTTTAGTCAGGCTGAGGGTGAACAACAGGACCTGTGATTTTGTGATTTGTTACCTAAAGAGCCTAAGAGACTAACAGCACATTCGACCCCATCGCCTGGAGGAAATGGGCTGGGGCTGCGGAACGAGGCAATCCCTACGTTCAGCTTCGCCAGAAGCTAATGTTAGATACAGAAATGAACTGAAGCCTCCTAAGGAGTGGTCTGGCGGAAGTGGGGACAGCATTCTGGAGGTGGGGACAGCATTCTGGAGGTAGGGGCAGCATTCTGGAGGTGGGGGCAGCATTCTGGAGGTGGGGGCAGCATTCTGGAGGTAGGGGCAGCATTCTGGAGGTGGGGGTAGCATTCTGGAGGTGGGGACAGCATTCTGGAGGTGGGGGCAGCATTCTGGAGGTAGGGCATGGCCCGATAACCTCCTTGGCTCCCTTCCTCGGTGCTCACACCCAGCGAGGAAGGAAAAGAAACGCATTCTGCCTCCACGTCGGCTCCGGGCAGATTCTGACGGACTCGGACAGTGAGTCAGACTCCTTTGCGGAAGGTTCTATTATTAGCCCGGGAACAAAGCTTCTGGCTCAGCTCTCTGCCGCACGTGCCTGGCTCCACCTCCTCCCGAGGAGAGCCAGGCTCCTTTGCCAGCTCCCGGGCCACACACTGTCCCTGTCTCACTGGGGTGTATGAGACAGAGCTCCCAGATAATAGACCCCAGGCCAGGTGTCCATGTACAAATCGGAGTTCTTCAGTGAGTTCTAAGAGGCCGAGCAAAGGCAGAATCATTACAGGGAGCTGGTTCAGAGGAAAGCAATGTGGGTGGAGAAGGCTAGAGGTGGCTTTTTTTAAAATATATTTTTATTGTTTTCAGAGAGGAAGGGAGAGGGAGAGAGAGACAAAAACATCAATATGAGAGAGAATCATCGATTAACTGCCTCCCACACGCCCCCCCACTGGGGATCGATAGAGCCTGCAACCCAGGCATATGCCCCCGACCGGAATCAAACCTGCGACCCTTCAGTCCACATGCTGACACTCTATCCACTGAGCCAAGCTGGCCAGGGCTGGCGATGGCTTTTGTGAACTAAAGAAAGGCCTCTGGAGACTGTTGGGTGGAAGAGGGGAGTTGGGTGACTTTGGGAATAGGAAGGGAGGATCACAGGTACTTTCTGGAGAGGACATAGGCTTCCAGAGTTGGGTGGGAGTTAGCCCTTCCCAAGTACCTGGTTCTAATTAGATTCACAGCTCAAGAGTGCAGTGAGGATTGAACCCTAACCCTTGCAGCCCTAAATTCATGTGTGATTCAGGCAAGGTGTTTTACCTCCCTAAATTCTCAACTATAAAGTAAAGACATAAAAATACCTGTTCTGCCTAGTATATTGGGCTGGATCAAATAAAATAATGGCATGAAAATACTTTTAACACAGTAATATTTATTCTAGGAAGAAGTCAAACAGACAGAAAGCCCTGAATGACAGCATCACCTTGTGAAGAGGTAGGACTAGAATCCCACTCACTAATGTGTGACCTTAGGTAAGTTACTCAATTTTTCTGTGCCTCAGAATCTTTTTTTAAAAAAAAATAAATCTTTATTGTTGAAAATATTACATATGTCCCTTTTCCCCCATTGCCCTCTCACACCCCCTTACCTCCCTCTGTGCCTCAGATTCTTAATCAATAAACCATGAATAATGTCCTAGTAAACACTGCACCAAAGTTAAGCAGGCAAGAAAGACTTTATTCATGGCTATTCCAATAGGGGAGAGAGGCCAGAACTAAGTTTGAACTCATCTCTGCTGAAGCAAGGGTGATAGAATTTTTAAGAGCTGGAGTGAGCCAATGGAAAAGAACTGGAGGACCTTAGGAGGGATTATAGGCCATACCTGATAATTGGCTTCATCCAAAAAAAAAAATCTCTCTCATATCTTTATTACAGGAAATAGTTTTGCAATTTGGACCTAGGCATGTTCAGATGTTAGGCTCCTAGCCTCCCATAGAAGTTTGGAGATAAGAACGCTAATCATTGAGGATTGCACTTCAAAGAGGTGGTTCCCTGTACCAGAGAACGACCCCCTGGAGTTGTAAAAATGGCAAGACACTGGGGGTGGGCTGTGGGGAAGATTTACATCTCAAAGGGGCAGAGGAAGAATTTACAATGGCAAGTTTTCTCAAGTAAATGCTCTATAAAAATGGAGGTCAAACGTCTAGAGTCAGAAAAAAAAAGTCTAAAGTTGAAGGGGGTAGTAAGGTCATTTTGTTCAATAATAATAATAATATTCACTTCATGAGCTTAATGTGAGCATTAAATGAGCTCTTTTATGTACCGAGCAGAGAAGAATGCCGGCACTTATTAATCACAAGAGAAGGGCTTACAATTATTAATGATATCTCAGACTTCTTCCATTTCTGAAGTTCATTAATTCTTCTTTAACGCAGGAAAACGATATTCTCTCATGAAATAACTGTGTCAAATACCTAAGCATCAGTTTGTATTTAGGCGGTTTTCCAAAGTGAACTTTCAATCTCCAGCCACCTTCCTGCCCTTGCTCAGCATAAATTCTGGTGACTGTTCTAATACATGCACAGCTACTAAGGTCTCAGAAAATATAAACTAACTTTATAGTTTTTATAAACCAAACCAAATTAAATATGTGGATCTTCTAGGAGTGAATAAGGCTGATGTTGGGTGCTTGTTAAGATCTAATTCAAAATGACTGTATTACCTGTTGATTAACATGACCAGAACGCCTATACCCCTCTTTGTTGGTATGAAGATGGGAATTAATGGTATGGATGTGGCCCGGGAACACACCCCCACTTGTTTCATCTTTTCTCAGTACTAACTCTATGGGAACATGTTTCTATATAGGGCTATGACAGGAGAGCTGAGCTTGGATGGCAAAAGACTCCAGACAATTTCAGTGAAACTTCTGTGACAAGCTTCTATCCTAAGAACATTTCTAAACACTTCCAAGCTCTTTCTATGAAGCCAGCATCCCAAAACCAGATAAAAATAGGACAAAGAAAGAGAATTATAGGCCTATATCTCTGATGAACAGAGATGCTAAAATCCTCAATAAAATCCTAGCAAATTGGATCCAACATTACATTAGAAAGATCATACACCATGACCAAGTGGGATTTTTTCCAGGGCTGCAAGGCTGGTACAATATCCGCAAATCAATAAACATGATACATCACATAAGCAAACAGTGATAAAATCACATCAATTGAGCAGAAAAAGCAGTTGAAAAATCCAACATCCTTTCTTGATAAAAAACCTCAGCAAAATGGGAATAGGGGGATCATACCTCAACATAATAAAAAGCTTATATGACAAACCTACAGCCAACATCATACTCAATGAGCAAAAACTAAAACCATTTCCCCAAGAAAAGGAGCAAGACAGGGATGCCCACTCTCACCACTCCTGTTCGACATAGTACTGGAAGTGCTAGCCATAGCGATCAGACAAGAAGAAGAAATAAAAGACATCCAAATTGGAAAAAAAGACGTAAAACTGTCATTATTCACAGATGACATGATATTGTACATAGAAAACCCTAAAGACTCCATCAAAAAACTATTAGACATTAGTCTAAATGAATTTGGCAATGTAGCAGGATACAAAATTAACACCCAGAAATCTATGGCTTTTTTATATAGCAATAATGAACTTACAGAAAGAGAATTTTTTTTAAAAAATCCCATGTACCATTTCAACAACAAAAAATTAAGATACCTAGGAATAAACTTAACTAAGGAGGTAAAAAACCCGTACTTGGAAAACTACAGGACATTGAAAAAAAGAGATAGAGGAAGACATAAACAAATGGAAGAATATACTGTGTTCATGGATTGGTAGGATCAATGTCATTAAAATGTCCATGCTACCCAAAGCAATCTATAGATTCAATGCAATCCCCATTAAAATACCAACTGCATATTTCACAGACCTAGAACAAACTCTCCAAAAATGGAATAAAAAAAGACCCCGAATAGCTGCAGCAATCCTGACAAAGAACAAAGTAGGAGGGCTCTCACTACCAGATATCAAGCTATATTACAAAGCCACTGTCCTCAGAACTGCCTGGTACTGGCACAAGAACAGACATATAGACCAATGG